GATGAACGCCACGCAGTACATGGTTTGGTCGCGCGCGCTAGAAATTTCAACCTCCTGTCTCCTGCTGAAGACTTGCAACTTCAGAAATCTCACCGCATGTCAAACTGAAAACTTGATTTTCAGATTTGAGGGACCAAACTTGACAAACTCCACCACTGAAAAAGTGTTGTGCTTTTTTTGGGGTTGTGTTTTTAAGGCAGGACCAGTATCCGATTGTTACAAGGCGGGGGGGTGACCCAACGTGTACCCATCTGGAAGCCCCTCTTTTTCCTACGCTGCTTCACAAAGGTTTCCAACTGCTCATGTTGCTCTACACTCCGCAATGCTTCATCTTGCTGAACCCCGGGTTCAGGGGACAAACCACAAGAGGACTCCACCTGGGAAACCTCTGGGGTAGCCTGGGTTATCCCTTCTCCCTGAACAGGAACCTCACCCTCAACGTCAAACCAACCCCGAAGGCAGTTGCCGCGTTGCGTGTGGGAGTAATGATCCTGTGTTTCCCCGCATGTGCAGGACTCGCCGGATCCAAACGCTTCTGGTAGTGTGCTTTGGCCAACACACTCCTGCAAAAAGGCATGAAGGCTGAGCTCTTGATACAAGATCTTAGCAGCTCTCCGAGCATAATCCTTGGTGTAAAAGGCGTTACGTCCCGCTGCTTCTCCTTCGCACCTGCCATGTTGATACCGCTTGTCGCAGTTGCGTGGCAGATTCATGATCTCCGCCAAACGAGAATGACTGGGCATGATCTTCCACCGATTTTGCAACAACTTATCCCCTTTAGCATCGCGCAACTGAACCCTACAACCCTGGGTCACACCAAAGTAAAGTTGATACTTCTTCTGGAGTCTCTGGATCAGCAGGAGTCTCCAAGCTTCACTCCGTTCAGCCCACTCCAACGTGCAGTGGATCCCGAGTTGCGTACAAACATGTAACACACATGACGCACCAACATAAATCTTCATGGCGTGCCTACGTTTGAGCTGAAGGTCTTGTTGCTGTTGCTCAGTACACTGATTCACACCAGCCTCAAACCTTCAGGGGTGGACAGATCACCCGAGTTCCACAAGGAGCAGCCGGAGGCCGAGTCTTCTCGTCCTGTCAAGTCTTGGACGGCCCGAGTCAGCAAACTATCTGGGGCACAGGCAACTTCCATCAGCGCAGGCCTCTTAGACCCGCGCTCGTTGGTAGCTACCAATTGCTGACAGAGACTGGGAATGAATGACTGTGAAGATTCTTCTAAGTGTCGCGCCTTGGGCTGACTCAAAGACAAAAGTTCTGAGTCCTGCCAAGCTCACTGACTCCTCATCCTCAAGTTGACGGCCCTCACTTGTCCTTCTTGCGGGGGCGCTCCTTCTTCAAGCGATCGAGCTCCTGCTGCATCTTGAGCATGTTCTCGGACAGGCTCTGAATCACGGCGGTCTGATTCTCCATCATCTGGATCATGTGCGCCTCGTTGTGGGAACTGGTGGCTGTCCCACTGTTGGCCGACTTGTCCTTGGACTTGCGGTAGCCGCGCGCCTGCTTGTTCCTTTATCTCCGTCTCCTCGGGCTCCGGCTCCTTAAATTGCTTGGCCCGAGTCGATGAAGTTTGGGATGCGCGTCTGCGCGTCCACATTCTCCTGGTGTGTCTGCGCTGCCCAATTGGCATAGTTGGGCGTGTCGTTGAACAGCTGACTGTAGGTGAGGTCGGCGTGGCGGCCGAAACCGATGTGATCGCGTCTGGGTGAAGGTGATTCAGGACCTTGGTCTGAAGCTGGGCGATCGTCGTGATCCTGGGTCGCCAGCTCGATCAGCAAGTCCTTCTTTCGGCTGGCCTTGTTGAGCTTGATGATCCTATCAACACCAACAATACTCAAACCTCTATCCCCGGGGGCAGAAGGATCTTGGAGTGTCTTTGTGACAATCCCCATGCCGGTTGCGCGCGCTGAGTCCTCTCGATCTTTCTCCGGCTGGAAAGAGGAGGGGTGTTATCCCTACTCAGGAGGGTTCAGGTAGGCCCTTAGGGAAGGAATCTCCGAAGAAGCCTCTTTGGAATCACGATAAAGGTCCTCAGTAAGATCCAAGAGTTGATGCTCAGTGGCGGAGGTCTTCAAAGAAATGATCCGTTTTGGATCCAGGGCCCTAAGGGCTAGCGTGTCTTCGGAAAAGTCCAAAATCGCTCCCAAGGCTTTAAGCGTAGCGATAGAAATAAGTATCGGGCCGCCGCCCTTGCTGAGGGCGTGGACCTTCAAGAAGCCCTTTTGGCCCGCTGCCTTCAGAAGCAACTGCACAGTCGACGCACACTGCGCTTCACCACTATCAGCGAAACCGAACACTGGCTTGTCGCTCACATCAACACCTTCAACTCCGTAAGAACCAGTCTTACTACGGTTGATCCGCGTCACTGACTCGATCGAGCCGAGGGTGCGTGTTACGCTCATTCCAGACGCCACAGCCTGGTTCGTGGAGATGCCGGTGACAAGGGCTGCCTCTGACTCCGCCTGCAGTGTCTGTGCGAGGGGGCAGCTTCACTCTCACGTCGGGATTCCGGCTTCTCTGTGCAATTGGCGGCTCGGTGGCCTAAGCGGCCACATTTCAAGCAAGTCATGCCACTATCGTCCCGGCTCTGGCTACTCGAGCCTGCCGAGTTGGTGCGGTAGTACTTGCGTGCTTGGCGAACTTGATGTTGTTTGAAGCGTGCTTCCTTCAAGGTCCGCTTCGCCAGGTGTTATGTTGCCCATGCCGTCTCCACTTCACGGGAGGCAGAGGCCCACAGTGCAGAGTCTCCCTCATTCAGGTCCTGAGGATCAAAGTTCATCCCCAGCCTCCTCTGCTTCACTGTCATCTTCCAGATGGCTTCCCATAAAGCTGGTCGCCCTATAGGACTGATCTCGACGCTTGAGCTCTGCTTCGGGCCACTGGGTCCTTAACTCTTGACACGGAGTAGTCGCCTTTGAGCGCTTTGACCACCGCATTCTTCTCATTGGTGCTCAGGTTCGCATCCTGCAGTAGGTACCACCCCTGTACCCACTCAGGGAGCAATGGCACCTGGGACTCGGACTTTCCAGCTGCTTTTCCTGGGAGTACGTGTAGCCGTGCCAGTTCCAGGAGCCATCATTGTACCATGACTGCCATGTCCATGGCCGTCCTGAAGACCATCTAGAGTCTGTCGCCGAGCCTCCGGTCGTAGTCTGCGCGGCGGGATCTGCTGCGCGACTGCAGCTTGTCCCTGGAGGCACGGATGCAATGGCTCGGCGCACGCAGAGCTAGAAACTCCTGTTTTGCTTGGGATGCAAATATCACACTGCGGAGACACCTCTGGCGTCGGAACAGAGCAGTGATCCTGGAATCACTTGCAACCCCTATGCCCTAAAAGCCCCAAACCCCCAAACCTAAAAGCCCTAAAACTTTCGCACCCGTAAAGCCTAAACCCTAAAATGACAAAAAACAACAAAAACACAAAACGCTTAAACTTTAAAACTTAAAAGCCCCAAAGCCCTAATATCATATCCCTAAAGCCCTAGACCAAAAAAAGATAGATCTTTAAAACGCCTTAAACCTAAACAGCTTCAGCCCTAAAAGTCCTAAATCGCAAAAACATTAAACCCTAAAATCACAGACGCGCTAAGCCCCAAAAGCCCTCAACCCTATGAACCGCAGACCCTAAAAAGTACCTAGAACCTTGTACCCTGAAAACCCAAGATACTCTTAAAGTGTAAGCTACATAGTACAGTCCAAGATTCAGAAGCCTTAAAAACGTTCTAAACCCTGAAAGCCAGCATATATCTGCACATGCAAGACGTGGCGAACCACCCCTGTCTGGCGTAGTAGTAGAAAAAGGCGTCATCGTCGTCCTCGTCGTCCTCGTCTGTCGTCGTAGTGGTAATAGTAGTGACTAGTAGTAGTTCGTAGTAGTAGTAGTAGTAGTAGTTGTAGTACAGTGCATCTCCTGGATAAGAAATGGGCCCGCCAGGCATAGGATACCCTTCATTTTTAAGCTAGGTAGGCAGTGCTTTCACATTTCCATCATCCCAGGCCTCCAGATGTAGAATACCCTTCATTTCTTGGCCCATTTCTTATTCGGGGTTCGAGCCCCTTAAGGTTGAGAAGTCTGGTGTTGAGAGACTCGCCTTATCCATTGGGCCATGGAGCCTCCAACCCTCAATACGCAATGTAACCACAACCCGAAGATATGAAGAAATGCAGCCCCTACATCTGATTTTGGTGGTTTTTGGGGTCTGGAAAACTTTGAGACTTACAGACGAAGCCACATACATTTCCTATTTTGATAGTTTTGGGGGCTGGCTACCGCATTCCGCCGCGGCCGGTTCGAGCAGCGGTCGGCGGCGAAGGAGGACAGACAGCATGCAGAAGCAGAGCAAGTCGTGACAGGGTAGCTGTGAGAGTTCAGGAAAGAAAGGTCGAAGGGAAGGAAGCAAGAAGCTGAATGGGGGGGAGGCGGGGGGAGAGGGGGGGGGAGTAAAAATCGACAATCCCTTCTACCAGCCTAAACCCCTGGAGGGTCGCCTGCTGGGTATGGGTAGGTGAACCCCGCCAAAACAAGCAAGGTAGTTACGGGTTTTCCAGGCTTGGAAAACACCTGAAATGGGAAATGTAGGGCTTTTGGGGGCTGAGAAAATACTTAACATAAAAAATGTAGCCTTTACATTTCTTGCTTTAGGGTTTTGGGGTGGGGCGTGGAACCACCCGAAATAAGACACGTACGCCTCCTACATTTCTTATTTTACGGGTTTTTGCGGCCTGGAAAACACAAAAAATGAGAAGTGTAACACCTTATTTTTTTAAAAGGGGTTTAGGGGCGGGCTTAGGGGTAGCGGTAGGTGACCCCTCCCAAAATAAGAAACGCAGCCCCTTAAATTTTTTGTTTCGTTTTTGGTGTTTTTGGGGCATGGAAAAACATCAGAAGCAAGAAATGCAGCCCCCTATATTTCTTATTTTAGGGTTTTTGGGGCGTGGAAAACCAGCGAAATTAGAAATGGAGCCCTCTACATTTCTTATTTTTGGGGTTCTAGGGGTGGGCTTGCGTGTAGGGGGTAGCGGTAGGTGAACCAGTAGTGGTGCGGTAGTAGTAGCAGTAGGAGTAGTAGTAGGTGGTGGTGGTGGTGGTGGTGGTGGTGGTGGTGGTGGTGGTTGTGATGGTGGTGGTGGTGGTGGTGGTGGTGGTGGTGGTGGTGGTGGTGGTAATAATTCTTTTATGATTGTTATTTTGATTCGTTTATTGTTATGAGTAGTGGCAGCAGCAGTTGTTGTTGTAGTGAAGGACGAGGAGGAGGAGCAGGAGGTAGTGGTGGTAGTAGTGGCGGCGGCAATCGTCGTCGTTGTCGTCGTCATCATCATCATCATTTTCGTTGTAAGCATCTCGGCTCCGTACAGCCCCTAGATTTGTAACGTCTCCTTGCTGCCATAGAGCCTGCTATCGGACAAGATTTTGCCTGTGACCCACCTTCGCGTCAGACTGCTCGAGATCATTACTGATCACGCGGCTTTTGTCTGTATAAACGAGGACACTCACGAACAAATCTTGCAGCTTGCTTACGAGCTCACCGCTGACCTGGACGCCACAAGCTTACTGGAATTTTCCAAGGAAGTTCTTCCTGCGGATCTCCATACACAGGTACGTGCTTTTCTGGCGGATAAGTACCCTATACTTTTGGCAGCTGCGGAAAGCGAGCTCACGGCGCATGCAGGCTTTGCAGCATGGACCGACTTCGGAAGAGACGACCTGATTCAAGGTCAAGTGGATGCAGTTTATCCGAACAATCATTAAAGAGATCTGTATTCTGGCTTATTGCCACGACCTTCGTCGCCAAGGCCTGTCAGAACGCGTTATATCAGCCAAGGCAACCTGGGCAGGAAAACAAATGTCTGGCGTTGCCATTCGAGACATCTGTAGCCGCGCAGCGGACAAACTTCAGTACGGTCGCGACGAGCTGCAAATTTTCATCGACATTTGGGAGCGTCTTTCCTCTCATCCGGTCGGAGAGAATGACTTGTGGTTCTACACGTGCTGGCTTAAAGATGAACGCGTCAGCAGTGACGACCGAGACAAGGCCTTTGAAATCGGGCTGGCCCTCGTTCAGAGGTGGATTCAGAGACAACATAACTTTCAAGTCGGGTCCCTGGTGCGCCGAGCCATTGAGCGAGCTTCGCGGGGCACTGGAGACGCCAAGCCGCTCCTCATATTTATCATGCTCGGTCCAGAAGACAAGGCAGCCTTCCTGGACTGCGTCCTCAGGGGTATCGACATTGTTCCGCTTCGAGAAGACGCGGTCCCTGAGATCCAAGACGGCAAACAGGCCAGAGGAAGCGGAGAGGATCCATGATCCTTCTATGATAAGGGCTTTCCGCATTTGGAGGTGGAACTTTTGGAGCTGCTCCGGTCCCAATGCCCGAGGCGGACAAGCCGCTGAGCTGAGACTGGCTCAACTTTTTCTTCGCTTTCACATGATCATGTCTAGGTATGACAAGTCCGCTGATGCTAGGGTTGGAGGAGTTTTTGGCCGATACCCTCCTGAAGTCCAATGCATTGATACCCTACTGATGTACAGCAACACGAACCATGACGGCCCAAGAATTAGTGTAGGGACTCCCCAAGGGAATCCGCGTGTCCTATCTCACCAAATGTTGAGCGAGCTCAAGTCAACTAAACATCATAGTAGACACTTCGTCTTGCGTGGTACACCTTCTCAAACCCCCAAGGTACCCCTATTAGGCCTATTGACCATCTTGTTAATTAGGTTGGCTTTAGACCTTTCACCACACCACCTGCCTTCAAGACAATGGTCCACCAGTAGGAAATGCCTGGGGCAATACCGCAGAATCCGCAGCCTTCGAGCTACGGGCAGCAAGGACCCCCCGCACGTCAACAAACATCCCTCAAGCACCTGCCGCACAGGAAGAAGCCGCCCACGCCTGCTTTTCGTGCTTCTCA